GGGGGGTCACACTGTGTCAAAGTGAGGGTACTCACCAGATTGTCATTTTATTTTTGCCACCTGTTGTAGGTTGTTGCTTAACAAAGGGTTACAAAAGGGGGAGTTGCCGGCATCCCAGGACCCCCCCTAGCTACACCCCTGATACTCTCTCCTCATTTGTAAATGGGAACCACCAGACTTAAATGGGGTAACTCAATGATGAATTAGCATACTATTAAAATCATTTCTGGCAAATTGTAAACACCAAGGGTGCCATTGGTGGCGCCCAGTGGCAGCCAGTCAGGGCAAGATGGGTGACTGCATCGGGACTTTGAACAAATATACAATGCTACTTCCAGCCTTGCTGTATTATTGTTCTACATGCAGCCACTGACCAAAGATTTAACAGTCCCTTTCCTTAGTTTGTTGAATGACAAGCGAAAAACAACCTCAAAACTGAACTCAAACATCCATATCTTGACCCAAAAAAAGAGGGTGACTCAAGTAATTACTTGCAAAGGACTTTTAAAAACTTGCTTCAGGTAATACTCCCCAGAATTTTACATTATATGGTAAAATAGTTGACATTTAACACAGCAAGTTTCATTTTATTCAGCATGCAATATTGTACACAACCATAGGAGAGTAGATACAAATGACAGAGCAAAAATATGATCTTGTGATCTAACACTTGCAGCAAGAGTCCAGTGTGAAGGAAATACAGTGGAATCCCTTGGGATTTATGGATCATGTAAATTTATGCCAGGTAGCTGTTAGGCAGGTGAAATTAAATCACTTATATAATAATGTTCACTTTGAATTAACCAACCATTTTATAAAACAGCTATCATAAACAGGCTCACTTGATGTCTTGTGCACAGGCACTGTACACTCAACATTTTGAAAAGAATATTTGGATACACGCTGATGTTGCACTTGCCTCCCAAACAGATGCTCTCAGGGCTCGTCACAGGAATGCATGAGCCTGCCTAGGTGGCTAATGTTGCACTTGCTCCTTCCTGGCTTTTTACTCTGGGGGAGGGCCTTTGTACTGCATGATTCTTCAGGCAAGACTTACAACCACATGCTATCTCATGGCAAATCCAACAATCTGCTCCTATGGAAAAAATTGTATACATAATAGATTAATTTACAAAAAGTGTACATATGGCTGACCTTGATCATGACAGGTGTAAATATTTTCTAATTTTTTGTTTTTTTGTTTTTTGCTTCAAACAGGAAGCCTGGAATTAAATTGAGGGTCCCTATTAAAGTGCATGCTAATCCCAGGGATCTGAAGAGTAAGAGTAGGTAAAGTCTGTATTATTTCTTGTTTCATAACATGAACCGTCAAGGAGTATTTCTCCTTTCCCCTGGATAGAATACTAGTCCATCACAGGGTTAATTAATGCCCCTAGCATTAAACGTGTTAGTACCCATTTACACCTGGGTGCAAGTCAGAGTAAACCAGTTTGCCCCAAAACACAACAGGATGACCCTGGTCAGTACTAGAACCACAGACTTTTTGATTTGGACTCCAGTGCATTGACAACTGGGCCACCATACCCGCCACATGCCTCATGACCAATGGCATCAAATGTCTCAGAAGGTTGGAGCGACTGGGCCAGAGAACTGCAACTCTCCTTAAATAGTATGCTAGTCTGTCAACCCTAGCCTCGGACCATTTTCCTGTGCTGTCCACATTTACTCAGCAGGGCAGAGAGAGGCATTGTGACAATAGGCCATTTCCTAGTTGCCTTTTGCCTCTGTGTCAAAATGAGTCTTAGTGCAAAACAATCAGGTTCACTTTCATGCAGATAAAACTCATTTTCCAATGAAAGGTTTTGCATGAGGACTCGTTTTGAAACAGAGACACAAAGTAACTTGAAAATGGCCTACTGTGAGTGTCTTGCTAAAACCCACAGCACAATGACCAGGGCTCCTTTCTTGAAAGTCCTGATAGTTACCAGTATTGAAAAGCCGTTTTACATTTGCCTTGCTTACATTCAAGATCAAGATATTAATAGTTTTGAAATTAAAACAATAAAAACATCAGGAAATGAAACAGAATGGGCTGGTTTTGAGCTGAAACCAGCACTACTGTTCCTTAGATTTCGATCTTAAGATATGGCTTCCCTTCAGGTCTGTAAAGTTACCATTGGGACTTTCAAGAAAGGGGTGCCACGCCTAAGACCCTTTGATCCACAACATGTTGCCATTATCGAGAAAAACTTGACGCAAATGGAAAACATTACCTTGATTGGAGGTAGAGCGCTAGTTGCTATGAGTCCTAATGATCGTGCAAGAACTGGCAAAGGACTGGAAGTGGAGTAAAGTCTCTTAAGAGTATCAATTGCAGTGATCATGGGGACCACACTCTGTTGTCGCTTTGTTTCATATGTTAAAAGATGCTCCAGAGAGCCTAGAGAAGGAATCAACATGAGAATACTGAGAGAAAAAACTTGAAACTTTAATGACCAATTACTTAGATAAAGACAAGTAAAACCCTAGAGGGAGGAGGACTCCCGTATGAAAAGGTTGGAAAATGCTCGTCATCTCGCTTAGGGATATAAATCAAGGATTATGGTCTCACTTAGGGTGTTCATGACAAAATGCCACTATTTTTAGCTGTCAATGAAAGTATCTTTTAGGTTACACTTGAAGAAATAATAATAATAGAATGCTCTTATTTCCATTTTTAGGCTCAATTTCCACTGGTCTCTCAAGTCCAGTCTACTAATGTAGGCTCCTTTCCTGAAAAGCAGTTGGTAATCAACCCTATTCTGTATTAGTGTGCATGTATCTTTTAAGCGTCAAATAAAGCTTGAGCCACGCCCAGATTGGTCTCCTTTTAGGGGTTTAATGCAAAATTTCTGACCAGTATCCCCAACCCTTTCATATGGAGTTCCCCCAGAAGTAAAATGTTAGTTTTTAGCTACAATTGAAATGTTCTAGTGAAATTACCAATATCTTGTCCTTCCTCGGCTGCCTCAGACAGGATATCTCTTAGACAGGCAACATCTCCAAAACCAAGATTGACACCTTGCCCTGCCAGAGGATGTACTCTATGGGCTGCATCACTGATAAATAAAAATTCGACAAATATCACTTAATTCACATGCAGTCTAAGATATCACTTAGTATTATTTTTTTGTGACAGAGGGTGGATCTATGGAAGGAACCACTGGGAAGGGTTGGTGTATCTGCCTCCTACCTCATTGGAACAAGGGTCTGTTATTACTCTGGAATCCTGCCTGCCTTTTCAAGCAACTCTGAATCTGCCACTAGACACAAGGGTGGTTTATATAAAAAATAAAGTAAATTTCAGTGATGATCTCACCCAATCAAAGCCAGTCTTGGTCGGGCATATTCTGTTGCGTGACCAAAGCCATATGGAAATGTGGCCCTGCTTCCTTCCTCGACACCACTGACACTGGGAGGAGACTGGGTTCCAGATCCTACATCTAGATAATAAATGAAGATAGCAATGTAGAAGCTACGTGTAGTTTATGGTCTACAGGAGATCACCTGTCTCATAAATCTGTTTTTCACAACAATGAAGATTTAGCCTCTAGTTCACATTTCAGGCTTGTCTTGTGATCATTCAAGAGGCATTTTTACCAGTCTAATGGTTGAAAATAAAACACAAAGTTCTCCTTTGCAATTTCCCTAGCCAACGTCCAGAACTTGCTGGTCTTAATTGTTTATAAATAACAGGTTATGTCTCTGACTCAACAGATAAGTCAGAACTCTTCATCTGTTTTAGGCTACAGTATGTGCAAGAATTTAGTGCTTCATGGCAATGTACAGTCAGACCTCCTCTAGCGAACGTCTCCTATACTTTCCATAAGTGACCACTTAGTCATGATTACCCCCTCATGATAGGTACAGACACTACTAATTTATCACAATAAAAATTTGTACTCTGCCATAAGTGGGCGGTTCATCTGTTTTCAGTAATGACATCCCTCGTAAGGAGAGCTAGGAGGTTGAGAACCCAAACTTGCATACTCACTTGTCCATGGCTGAATGAAAGAAGCTAACAGGTAGGACAGTCTTGTTGCCTGATCCACAAGAGGATGACGATCAAAGTCCTCCCACTGTTTAAGAACAGCAATAACGTGAATAATAAGCTTGTTATGCATTGTTGGTCCTACAGGTATGGTGGTATGGACTAATAATAATAATAATAATAATAATAATAATAATAATAATAATGGAAAAAGGAGTGTTTATTGTGACAAAAACTAGAACTAAGCTTTACAAAATGCTATAATATTTTACATAATTTGATGTCTGTTAAACCTGTAAAACATGTTTCCGTATCTAATCATGATATCATGGTTACTACAACTAATACTAATACTA